AATATATACTAATTATTATTCTATTTTATATAAATTTATATTTTTAAACATTTAATACTCAAATAAAATACCTTCTCTATAATACATATACTCTAAATAAAGTTTCCTCCAAAATTATATTAATATTATTTTATTCAAACGGGCCAAAACGAGAAAAATTGATCAATAAGAGAACATGCCCCAATAGTATAGAGTTCTATTCTTTTAATAAACAATGCGAGAAAACAACCACCGTATATACTCCGCACATTGTTGTTTTTATTAACCTGTCATTAACTTCATTACTTATTTGATGTAAATTATTTTAATTGAATAGTTAATTAAATAAAAATTTTATTTTATTTTTTAATAATAATTAATATTAGAAAATTATTCTTAATAATTAATGTTAACAAATATATTAATTACATTTTTAACTTCTATTTTAAAAGTACAAATTAAAAAAAATTATTTTTTTGTTTGAAATATAAAAAATAAAATAAAATAAAAATTTTAATAAATTAAACGATATTTTAAACTTGTAACCAAGGGGTTGTTAATTTTGGTTTTATTTGGATTGGATGTTAAAAACAATTGACATTATAATTGATGACTAAGAAAACAATTTAATGTCTATTAGTTTTTCTTTTAGTACATTAAATGATAGACTAAAAAATAAAACAATCTTCTCCTTCTCAAACCCCTACCCTTTCATCCTAACATTCAAACTTGATATTTATTAGTTAGAAGTTCAACATTAACTTAAATAAAAATTTTTAAATATATTTAACTATTTTTAATCAAATATAGAGATACACTTTACAAAAAATTATTATGCAATCTAAAATATATCTCCTTCTCAAACCCCTACCCTTTCATCCTAACATTCAAACTTGATATTTATTAGTTAGAAGTTCAACATTAACTTAAATAAAATTTTTTAAATATATTTAACTATTTTTAATCAAATATATAGATACACTTTACAAAAAATTATTATGCAATCTAAAATATATCTCTTTATTTTACACAACTAAAATTTTTAAATGGGAGTCAACCTCTAATATTAAAAGTCATTCCCTAATCTAACCATTTATATTTTACATTCTACTTCAACTTAAAATTACAAAACATGATTCTATAGACCTTAGCTACATATCTAAGGAAAGCAAGTCATGTGCTGCTGTGCAGCCAAATGCGTAACAACCACTAGTCAGACGTGTGGCGTCAATTCTCCTAGTCCGTGGAAATAATTTTCTTCAATTAATGTTGGCCCCTTGTTATACCTAACATATGGCAGAGACGTAGCCAACTACGACTTAGCGGCTAATTAAAACCACAAAAAAAAAAAAAAAGTAATAATAATATATAAAAAGCACCAACATGTTTCACATTTTTTGGCGGCAAGAAGGCCAATCGGCATCTGTACTCTTTAATTAGTGGCGAATTTGCCACTCAACCCTCAAACTCTTCCAACGGTTGCAAATGAACCCTTATTGGATGGATGATGTCAGCACTTTGGTTAACTTTAACGGACAGCACATTTTGGTAGGGTCCACTTCATGAGGTGGTATTTGCTAGCTGGGTCCCATCAAATTACTAAATGTTTTATTGGCCAAAAAAATTACTTAATAAATTGAAAATATGTCAAGTTACAATTTTGCCCTTGTCTTCTTCCTCTTTCCCCCTTCCTCCACTCTTTTCCCCTTTCTCTCCTTCCACCATGTGCCATAGCACATAGTGGGTACCCGCTGGGCGTGGGCATAAATAGTTGAAAAAACATCATTTACTCCAACTTTAATATATACCTTCAGGAGGGGATACATCAAGACTTCTCAATTTCTTTGCATGTTGCTTTATCGTATTTGGGGAAGATACTGAATCCTTGATAAGAAATCAAAATATGCAGCAAGTGATTACAAAATTTTCTTTAAACCTTTTTTTTTTTTTGGCTATAAAGTATCTCGTATTGGTTCCTCTTGGGCCAGTGTGAAGAGAAAGCTCTGAAGGCCAAAACAATAAAATGCAGCCTCTATTTGTATTTAAAAGAAGAGCAGAACAAGAAAAACCTACAAAGTAAATTAATCAACAAACAAAAAATTTCTAAATATGTGGCGTTAAATTTTAAAATTCTAAAGCATCAAGCCACATGGACAAGGAAGGCCACACATCATTGTCTATCTCAGCAGTGGATCCCACCCAAGCAAATGCTCCGTTAATGTTAACGAAATTGCTGACATCATTTGTCCAATAAGGATTTTTATCTCAACTATTAGAAGACTTTGAGGGGTTAAAAAGCTTCTGCCTTTAGTTGAGGAGGACTGATTTGTCCACTAGTTGAAGTGTACGTGGGTTGATTTGTCCTTTTATTTTTTTTATTTGACCACACTCGTGTCTGTGACAGACTAAATATGTCCTTCAACAATGCCCGCATTGTATTATAAATATCTCATTTCGCCAATGCCCACAATATTAAGAGAAACATTAACTCTCTTTCCAAAACTTTCTTTTCTCTTAAGGTTTTTCATCATGGAACTTTCACTTTCTTCCATCCAAGTTCTAGTTAAGGAAATCAAGGAAGAGATGTTCTCAAACATCGATCCTTACTCATTTGTTTCTCCTTCTGCGTATGACACTGCATGGCTAGCCATGGTTCCAGATCCTCAGGAACCAGGTCAACCAATGTTCAAAGGGTGCTTGGATTGGGTACTGAATAACCAGAGAGAAGAAGGGTTCTGGGGAGAGTGTGATGGCCATGGCATGCCCACCATCGAGTCTCTTCCAGCAACTCTTGCATGTGTAGTTGCACTCAAGAAGTGGAATGTTGGGACAAAGGAAGTACAAAGAGGTGATTACACGTGCTTCAAAAACTAGCTAGTTAGCATATGTATAGGCTTGTATGGTTTAACTATTAGGGAACAGCTCATCGTAGCCATTTTCTCTAATTAATCAAGTTTCCTCTAATAGTTAAACAGACAAATATATATATATATATATAAGATCTAAATATTATAAGATTTACATAACTTAATTAAGGTTTATATATATGTTTGAATTTCATGTCTATATCTTACAACTTTTTCCTTCTTGATATAGGATTGGAATTTGTGGATGAAAACACTGCAAAGCTTCTTGGTGATGATCATTTTCCTCGGTGGTTTGCCATTATTTTCCCTGGAATGATTGATCTCGTGCGTGAAGTTGGTCTAGAGCTTGCCTTTCCTAAGCAACTAGGACTATCAACGAACATTTTTGGTGAAAGGCAAAGTATTCTTGAAAGGTACGATACTTAACATTTTATATACTACTTTTTTTTACATTTTTCAATTTGTTTTTTTTTTTTTCATTAGCCAAATAAAAATTTTATTATAATTGGAATATGAAGGGGACTCCTATTCATTTTAAATAATTTGTATGGTACATCAATATCAAAAATGGAAATCCATGCCAAGCTCATCAACGAAATCAGCCATGTAATTTCAGCTCATCAAGGGATACTTTTGTCAATTTGTATAACCAAAATTTAGAGAATATTGTTAAAATTTTCATTTCTCAAATATATATATATATATATATATTGTTACCCACTTCATTCAGCACTTAAAAACACTAGTTGGAGATTCAAAAATATAAAAACGGCAGTGAAGTGCAATAGATTGTAAAAAACATTTATGTTAAACATTTATTTATTTATTTATTTTTTTTTGAAAAGCAAAAGAATTTATTAAATGTGGAATACTGGGGGTATTCCAACCCATAACTTACATACATTAGTAGGTGAAAACGATTTTCTTAATCACCGGCTTCTGCAGAAAAAATGTAACAAATTAAAGTCTTTGGGAAAATGGTCCAGTTCAAACTCTTTCTTTCATGTTAAACATTTATTTAATAGATTGTTATATTTATTAATGCAGGGAGGAACTGGTTGGAGAACAATATCCTCCATTGCTATCATATCTTGAAGTCCTAAAACCAGCTGATGATAATCTCATTAAAGAAAGCTTGACCAAGCACTTAAGCTTTGATGGCTCGTTATTCCACTCCCCCGCAGCTACAGCTCGAGCATTCATGGCCACGGGCGAGAGAGAGTGCTTAGCTTATTTGCAAACTCTTGTTCAAAGATGCCCTAATGGAGGTCAGCAACATTTTCTATAGCAATTAATGCATGCTTCTGTTGGGACCCATATCCTCAAATTATACTTCGTTTCGAAGGAGGGTAATCTCTAGTAGAAAGTTAGAGGTGCTCCAACAAAACTGAATAGGATTCCGTTGATTTTCTCTTAATTTTTCGCCATCCTCTACATTTTACTCTGTTAAAAAAAAGTTAATCCATGCAATTTTTTATTTAAATTTTCATTTTTACTGAAATTTAAGTGTTAATTAATTAACTTGTGTGCAGTTCCACCAACATATCCTATGGATGAGGACCTAATACAACTTTGCATGGTGAATCAACTTCAAAGATTAGGGTTAGCCGACCATTTCACTCAAGAAATAGACCATATTTTGGCCCATATTCACAGGTATGGGAAAGAAATTACAAACACAAAAATTATATATAAAAGATAAGTAATAACCTTTTTGTTGTAATGAAAATCATTTGAAACAGGAGTTATTACAATCAAGAATCCAAGGGAGGATCAAGAAGTGCAATTGCAACTCGGCTACATAAGGATTCTTTAGCATTTCGGCTTCTCCGTATGCATGGTTACACAGTATCTCCACGTATGTTTCCTGAAAATATGTATGCACGCACGCATGCACACGCACAGGGGCAGAGGGAGGGGTGGCGGCCGTCCCCCCACAACTTTTGAAAATTTTAAAATTTAGTACATGTTATTATTATTTTAAGTTTTTAAATATTATATTTATTATGAAAAATTTTAAGTTATTCTCATTTAACTATTTATAATTTTTTGTATTTAATAACTCAAGACAAATACAATTTATAACATTTTTATTTTAATTATAATTACCAAAATATTAGAACTTAAATAAATATTTTATAATGGTTAAATCTCTAATTTGATCCCTCAACTATTGTACAAATCCATGATTTGGTCCCTAAACTAAAAAATTTTTTATTTGATCCTTACTGTTTATTTATTTAGTCTCAAGTTGATCCTTCCATTAAAAAAACTGACGTATCTGTTATTTAATAGTAGAAAATCATTATTTAATAGTAAAAAATCATTATTTAATAGTCACGTATCACGTTAATAATAAGACACGTCAGCTTTTTTTATATAGAATAATCAATTTATGATTAAATTGGTAAACAGTAAAGATCAAATCAGAGTTTTTTTAGTTTAGGAACCAAATCAAAGGTCTATATAATAGTTGAGGAACCAAATTGAGAATTTAACATTTTATAAAAGATGAAAATATTCTAATCTAAATAAAGGCAACTTGCATCAAGGCTCTTAATTTTTTTTAATCGACCAAATAGAGATTATTTATTAATTTGGAATACAAGAAATACTTCTACCCATACTTTACACATCTAGGCTCCTAATTAAATTCAAATTCAAAGATATTTTCCCTTTAAGTTTTCTAATTATTGTTTTAAGATTTTATTTTTTAATTTTTATCATTTAGTTCAGAAAGTGATTGGATTAATGAAAATTTTAGTTGATAAAAAGGTTTGAGTCTTTAATTTAGTTAATAATTTCAACTTCTAAGTACTAAATTACATGTTTCATCTTTTCATATTGTTTAATTCTTTAGGATGAAAAAGATAACTTTTAATAAACAAATTCGTAAAAAAATTGGATATTTTTGGATGGAAAGTATACTTTGTTGACAAAAAAAATGGTATGTACTTTAAATAGTTAAATTAATTAATATGTCCACGTGCAGGGAGCTTCTGTTGGTTTTCAAATGATGAAAAAGTTCAAGATCATATAGAGAAGAATTTTGAATTCTTCTCAAGTGTAATGTTGAATATTCATAGAGCCACAGATCTTATATTTCCAGGAGAATACGAACTTGAAAAGGCAAGATCCTTTTCAAGGAAATTACTTGAGAAATACGTATCAGTAGGAAATGGAGAGCGGTCTTTTCTCAAAACGATGGTACTTGTAATATATATATAGATATATATGAACTAGTTAATTACTTTTATTATTTTCAAAAAATTAAAAAAAAACTAATGATTTTATAGAGGGCATAAGATTTTTGAACTTGCAAATTAAATGTTGCATAGATCAAGCATGAGCTCAGTGTTCCATGGATTGCTCGACTGGATCACTTGGAACACAGAATGTGGGTTGAAGACAAAGATATGAATGCATTCTGGGCTGGAAAGACTTCCTTCCATAGGTATTAAGGCTTCTAGTCTCAAATAAGTTAGTGGTTTTGCAATTTAAATTACGTTAAACTTCAAAAACATGACTATTAAATGGGGAGGGCCAGTTCCAACATTAAAAGAACCGCCCCATCTGATAATCAGTTTTGAACAATTCAAATTGTATGAAACATTTTTGTTATATAATTAACCGACAAATAAAATTTTTGGTATTGAACTAACCAGGTTGCCAAGCTTTCGAAACGAGAAGCTAAAGAAACTTGCAGCTAAGGATTATGAGTTTCGACAATCAATTTACAGGACAGAACTGGAGGAACTGACAAGGTGGTCTAGGAAATGGGGTCTTGTCAATTTGGGATTTGCCAGAGAGAAAACAACATATTGTTACTTTGCCATAGCAGCCTGCATTTCTTTGCCTTACAACTCTGCGTTAAGAATGATGGTTGCAAAGAGTGCAATTCTCATTACAATTGCTGATGATTTTTTTGATTCTCACGGTTCGCTACATGATCTCAACACCCTCATCTCTGCAATTCAAAGGTAACACTTAACAAACTAAGGTTGTCGCAAGAGGTTAGGGCTATCATGAAACCCTCTCAAATTTCTTAAAACATTGTGTATGGACAGATGGGATGGCAAGAGCTTGAATGGGCATTGCAAAACTATCTTTGATGTCCTTGATGATCTTGTGAAAGAAATTGCAGCAAAACACCTCCATAGTCAAGGATCAGATATAACAAACCATCTGCAACACCTAGTAAGTTTATAAACCCTTAACTTGTTGTAGTTTCTTGTCTTAGTTTCTTGTCTTTTCAAGAATGTGTAAGAAACAGTCTCTTCTTGTTGGTGGGATGTGAAGTGGTATGAAACATTTGTTTCATGGCTGGTGGAAGCTCAATGGAGTAGGAGTCAATGCGTGCCATCAATGGAAGAATACCTTGAAATTGGCATGACATCCATTGCTGCACATACACTAGTTCTTCCAATTTCTTGTTTCTTGACTCCTAGCATTCCGGATCACACACTCCAACCAAACCAATATGAGACACTCACCAAATTGCTCATGCTCATAACTCGCTTGTTGAATGACATTCAAAGCTACCAGGTAAAAGCAAATGGAAATTCGTTGTAGATTGTTCCGTTTCTAATTTTCAATTTTCTTTGGAAAATGATTATATTATTTGCTATAACAGAAGGAAGAAGAGCAAGGAAAATTGAACACTGTGCTACTATATTTGAAAGAAAATCCCGAGGCAGATATTGAAGACTCAATTGCTTATGTGAAAGGAATGCTAGAGACGAAGAAGAAAGAATTACTCCAACATACTTTCATTGATGGCTTTAGTGATCTGCCAAAACATTGCAAGCAGCTTCATCTATCATGCCTGAAAGTATTTGCGATGTTCTTCCATTCAAGCAACCGATATGATAAAGAGGACACAAAAATGCTTAAAGACATTCAACAAGCAATCTATAGTCCTCTACATGTTGGAAGAACATCAAAGGTATTGACAAAGAAGCCTGTTGCTTCTTATTCTGGTTCAAAAGAACATAGAATAATCAACTATGAATTTGGTCAGCACTCCAAATATCACAGCAGGAGAGTCATAGCCAGACTTTTCTCGCCAATATCAAGGCGTGGATGTGATATTTTGTTCATGCAACCAAAATTTAAACTGTCTTTAGTTTGAAACAGTATTTACTAGATGTAACATCGCAAAAGTAGTATATCTCTTGAGCAATAATGTTCTCAATGAATGTCATGTACCCTTGTTTTCTTCAATATCTATGCAATAAGAAAAATGGAAATCCTAACCAAAGACCCTAGTGAAGTGATCAGCTTCTCCTTTCAAGGGATTGTGTTGAAATATGTTGTTCCCTTGTCAGTGTGAAGAATTTGAGTCCCACATTGAACAAATATAAAAAGAAAGAATGGCTTAAATATATAAAGACCCATGCAACTACAGGACTAATTTTCTGGTTACAATATGGTGTTGAAACATGTGATGGGCTATTTAATGTCTCACGATAAAGCATATGTCACCCAAAAAGTGGTATTCGACAGACCAACTGTTTTATTGCCTCCTCGTATTTTGCAAGTCTATAATGTATTCTAAGACACCACATACAGAAAATTCATATGATTTCCATAAGCAAACACAGTAAGTTAAGGAAACTATTTTCGATGGGAGAACAACACTCACATAAGACCCTATTACCTATAGAAGCACAATCCTTGAGGATCAGTTAACTAAACGGATTATCGAGATGAAGGTGGAGATTTTCCAAGGAGAAAGGATTTGAAGAATGCAAGTGAGCTGCTTGGTTTGAAGCAGGGCACTGCATGCCCAGCCCCTCTAAATGTTGCAAAAGTTAGCCCTTTGTATTCTTGAAGCCAACCACTGACCTGTGTCCCCCAAGGAAAATGCCATTTGGATTAGCGAAAGATGCATGTGATATTTTTTAATCTGAAATTAGATAATTGTTTGTTTAATTTGCCATGTTTGTAAATCATCATTAATACCTGCTTCTGGTGGTACGGGGGTCTCCATGCCCGAAGAACAGGCAGTCCCAAGGAGCTTAAGCTGTACCGTGTGCACAAAACAGGAACCCTTCCATCTGTGTCTCCACTGAGCCACTCAGGAAAAAATAAATAAATAAATCAATAAGATCAAGAAAAAGCCACCATGCAAATGCAAAGCACGAAGTACCTGTAGACCCATATTCTAACTCCAACTGCAATAAGCTTTTTGTATATTGGAAGAACAGAGTTTTCTGAATCTGATTCTGACCAATTGTTAAACATAGTCTGAGTGTACAGGAAAAAGCATAATGAAACTGTTTGCTTAGGATCATAAAACCAGATTCATCACTTCACTTTACGGTGAAACTCCTTACTTGCATATGCTCCAGTTTCTGAGCTGGTGACCATTGCTAACATGGAGTGCCTCTTGAATATCGGGTCTATTGTAGAAAGCTTTTGCATAATTATCCATGCATGGATCATAACCTCCCAGGATCCTGGGCAACTGGTTAGAAAAATTCATGAAATTTTCAGAACTTTGAACAAAGACTGTCACGCAAGTTAATAGCAATACCATAATGTGACTTAAAGAAATGAAAATGAATAAATGACAAATGAATTGGCTTCAGTGCCTTCCGTACTTGACTACTTAATAAGTATATATGAGGCATACAGCTTAGGAATATTTAAAGAATTTCTCCTACTTGTTATATAATATATGTAAGCTACAGAGGTGAATAAATGATCACCATGTTGGACGCTTGCTTCATTACAACTTTCATTGACTTATTATCTGAACCAACGCAAACTGGGGTGTATAAACTGTAGATATCAATCTCCTTATACTGTTTGAATAATTCATCCACAGCTTCCTTACAATGTGGATTGCTCCATGTATCACTGCTGTTAAAGTCACAGTTTTCACTGATTATTCTATGTGTTTCATCAGATATCACAGCATGACTCCAACCATAATCCACTATTCCTTCCCAATCTTCAGCAGAAGATGTTTCAGGATTTCCCAGCTGTTGACAAAAAGGATATTCTAGTACATCACTGAATCATGTATTGAATAGGAAAATATTGCTAGGGATGGGGGACCAAAAAAAATAGAAAGAAACCCCATATCAGAATACCCTTCAAATCAATATAAGGGGAGGGATCATTGTTCTTGTCAATGGTGAGTTCAGCTAGCTCTGGTACATATTTTCCTGTGAATACATATCAATGAGAATAATTGGCAGACAAGGGTAAGTTGATAACATTTATGCACCAGAAGATTATAACAAGAACCTGCATAGCTTTCCCCTGCGATGTAAAAGGTCCGTCTTCTATATGAGGGGAACTTGAGGAACCACTTATGTAGGAAGGTATAAGCATCATTTGCTAGTGTAAGTAGTCCAAACAATAGAAACAAACATAAATCAGTTTGATTTCGGGATCTTTTTCTTATCTGATGAAGGTCAGAAGTTCTCACATTTCAATTTATGCAAAAATATATACATGTAAGCATTAGAGGGGATGCCTTAAAGTAGAGACAATTGAGCCAACAGCACATTATCAATATTTAAATGCGTCAAAAGTTTGTATTCAACTCACCAGTGAAGCCATCTCCTAGATTATCATAATCAGTCGATGTATTTGTGTATGAAAAGCCAACCCCAATTGGAGACTCCAGGAATAACATGTTAGCTTCTGCACCATCACAGATATTAAAAATTCTTATATGCTCTTGCAATCAGGGAGCAACATAAAAGGCGCACAGGAGCCAACTAGAAATAGTTTAATCGATGATGCATGACACATATGCCTGTAGTAGTGACAACAATAAATATAACAACAGCAATAAAGAATTAGCAAAAGGATGACGAACACTTATGCAAGTGAGGGTAATTAAAGGTTCTGAACTTTAGACCTTTATTCCATGAGAAATTATTAAACTTAATTCCATTTCCATCAATGTCCACTAGGAAAGGACCAATCTCTTGTGTTGCTCCATATCCAACGGACGAGCACCCAGGACCTGCAACATGAACAACATTGAATGAAAAGAACAAAATGAAATATTGGGGATGAGGAAAGCCAATTAAGGACCACCACTATGAGATGGTAAAAACAATAACCCCAACAAAAGATTATTTATAATATATGATAAAAGATTGGTTTTGTGTCATTGCAAGGAGATTAAATTTTTTACGAACCATAAGAGTTGATTTTATAAAGAAAAATTATCTGTACACCCTCAGTTGAATACATTTTCTAATATACTTTTAATTCAACTATTAAAAATATAACATAAATATAGTCAATTCAGCTAGTTAATGTATCTTATGTGCATGATTATATTTTTAAACTTATCTATCTTTAATTTCAAAGTAAAAAATAATGATTTTTTAATAAGTATATTGTGCAATATGTTAAATCAAGTGTGTATCAATCACTGTCATTTTATAAAAAGCGTGCAACATGTTTGATAACTAATATATATAATCTGGATTGTTGTGGCCACCAGATTCCAATGTAGTCTACCTGGAGGGTAACATGACCAGCCCCAGAACGGTTAAGCTGCAATGCAATGGCTAAAAGAGGCACAGAGCAATTTGATAATGGTTTAAACAACGATGTATGTGCTTACCTCCATTAAGTCACAGCACTAGTGGTTTTTCATCAGGACGAGTTGTAGCCTCAGAAAACCAATAAAAGAGTCTCTTCCATTCTTTTCATTCACGTTGACATAACCAGCGTAATACCGGAAGTCTACAGCTGGCTGGCCAGGCAAGTTAGTGACAATATCCTCATTTCCATACGAGTCCCTTTTCTTCCTACCTGACAATTGTGAGTTGCTAACTCCAGAAACAGGCTGCACTGGTATAGATGAAACAAAAGCCAAAGTGAGGAAAACTGCCACTTTCAACGTAAAGTCCATATGAATACAGAATAAAAAGTTAGGGAGATTGAACAAAGGAGGATGAACATTAAGAACAACAAAAAGTTATCCATTGATTTAATGGTATGATACTCATTTAATATTACATCATAATTATAACCTTACAATTATAGCATTGCCATATTGGAAATATCTTTGGGTAAACTACAGGAATAGTCACTCACCCTTATCATAACTTTTAACCTAGTCACTATCCTTTTAAGTTCGAAAATTTAGTCGCTTAATTATGATATAAATTGCTATCGTTGGTCACTAACAGTTTTTTTTTTTTTTTGAACTTTTGAACAACAAATCAGAACTTTAATTAATAAAATGCGTACAAGGGGTACTCAGCCCGTTATACGCTATTCAAGCATCCTTTACAAAATAAATCCTGTCAATCCGACCTATCCCCTAGTATTCATCTTTCCCCCACAGTTATCTTTCATGCATGCAACAGGGTTAATTAGCCAATCTGATAAAATGAAGGCATACCTATCTTTCTTTGTTTTAATCCATAAATAAGACCTCATTTGTATGAGCTCAA